CGGTTAAAAATGACCACTCATTTTTGACAGGATGATGTACTATAATGGATTTAAAAATTTATATCAGAAGAAAAAAATTGGTATCAACTCTCTCTTATTCAGGTAACATTGATTCTACAAAAATCTATATGTGGTTAGGGACTGATGTTCTACCCTGCAGTGTACGTCCAGATATGTTGATATCTCTGATCACAGAACACAGTTTAGTTACAATACAATTCGTTATACGTCTCAGTGATATCAGTTTTGCGCCAGACTGATTTTATGACAGTTCAGAAACGATCAGGTATTTTATTGTCCTTAATACCTTTATACTAAAGCTGTGTCAAGATTTGTTAGCATTGCCTACTAGTATTTCAAATCAAAATTTGTTATTAAAATTTTTTTTATTTTTTTTTTTAAATATTAAATATGTTTCTGATTTTCAGTTTTTAAGTGGGCGTTTGGATTGCCAGGTCATTGCTATTTGGAAATGTTATATCAAATTAATGAATTTTTAGAAAAATTGATATTTTTTGTTATTTACACTACAAATAAGATTTTTCATGGACAAAAGTAAACGTTGAGCATGAGAAATGCCAAACTAACTCATTAAATGTCTGCAAGTAAGATAGTATTGTGATATAGGAATAACATGGAGATATGTTAATATGCTAGAAAATTTAGAAAAATTGTAAATCATAAAAATTCGTTCAGAAAACACAACCTGGGGAAAAAGAGCAATAAAATTCATTAAGCACACTAGGTATTTTTTGATCGACAAATTCCACCAGTCATGTGTTAGAAAAATTTCTGAGCTTTTATCACTTCGGTACGTGTGCCATGGACACTCCAGGTATTTTCTCCACATGTTGCTGATAAACTTTTAATTCCTCCTGCCAAGGTTCTTACAGATCTGTGGACAGGACCTTTAATTGATTGCAATACAGTTCCAGTAGTCTGATTAACATGTACTTGTAGTATTTCTTAATCTGCCTGGGTAAAGTCGGTTATCAGAAAAAATACTACTCAGTAATTGCAGTGTGAGGTTATCTATACTTTTATATCCTAAATACTACATTGGACTTAAAACAAATATTTGTTATGTGTTGTCTATACATGATCATATATGGGTTTCAATTTGATATGCGTCAAGTAACTTTTAAATGAAATGGGTCTAAGAATAGATCACTTTAGCAAAAATATGTCAAGCTAAAGTGAAAAATTTGTGAAAATTTCCATAAATCCCATATCACATAGAAACAAATTTCAGGTTTTACTTATTATTGAGGTAAATTGTAGAAATGGACAATAATAGATCATTTTTAAAGTTAGTAATAAATCTTCATTAAATTGTAAACCATGGAATTGTGATCTTTCTATTACTTTTAAAATTTTTTACATTTTGATGAAAATTGATTTCACAATGTTTTTCTGTCTGATTTACAGATTGTGAACTGGAATCTTCTTTGGGCTCAAGTCTTTTGAAAAATCCACACTTAAAAGAAAAACAGAAAAACAAATTGGATTTACCCTTGTATCTTTTCAACATTTTCAAAACGCCAAAGACTGCAGAGAAAGTGCCCTAGAACTACTTCCAACTTTTCCTATGAAGGAAATAAGAGTTCCCCCAGCCGAAGGATTAATGGTTAGGACAAGGGGAGATAACTCTGTTTACGATGAAGGCGGGGACGATATCGAAGAAACGAACAGATATTTTTCGTTGAACCATCTTGATTTATTGAAGACGTCTCCTACACACATCGATTACACGATGGGAGGGACTGTTACTTCAGAATACAACGAAAACAATAAAGACTTTATTCACATAGATACGAGGACCGAGTACAGTTCAGACAACGGTCCGAAGTCTCCGGAGAGTTTAGACAGTGGCGTCATTCTGAATGATAGAGCTGATTTTGATGCAAAATGGCCACCGGATGGAAAAGAAAAGAGCCAACATTGTTCACCTAATGGAAAGGTCAAAGATCACGAGACGAAAGGATCATTTGAAATAGAAGGAGTCCTTTTTAAAGATTTGGATCAGCTAAGGTCAAGAAAATCTGAAAACAGTGCTATAAATAGTCCTTTTGAAATCTCCGATGATTTGATTACGATTTCTTCAAACCCAGAGTATCAGATTTTTGAAATTGATGCCCTTAGTGCTAATTCTCATGGATGTTTTTCTCCAAATGATTGTGATGAAGATGAAAATTTATCAAAGGCTGAAAGCATATTGTGCAATAATAATGAAAGTACAATGACAAATTCAAATGTTGTAGCGGAAGAGATTCATTCTTCTTCAAACTACGACTTAACACTGAATGAATCATGTGACAGTGTGCCAAAGAATCAAAGTGGTTCAGATGTTTCATCTTCTCATATTGATTCAAACATTTCTATGACACAGATTCCTGTGAGTTCAAATATTTTTGAGGACGAGATCAACGAATCACCACCCCAATCTCCTCACTCATCGCATGGATTTAGTTTTACAAGACAAGTTTCTGTTGATTCTGTAGGTTCTGATTACTCGGAGAGAAATTCAGTTGAATCGAAGTCAACAGAAATATCAGAGACATGTATTTCTAAGGATCACGCAAATTCATCAATTTCGGTATCATCATCTCATCAAAACTCAAGCATTTTAAAGAGCCAGTTTATTGCTGGTGAAGACGAATCTCATGATGTTTTGAATTCTCAGTTTTCAACACTGACAAGCGTTTCAGACAACCACTTCTCTGACAATGCATTATCTGAAGATTACATTTCGGATGGTGAAGGTTCTTACGATAGTCCAGGACAAGATATGTACGAAAGTCCTCTTGAGGAACAGTCTCATCTCCTGTCCCGCAATAGTGAAATGGATTTGTCTGTCAATCATAACTTGTCACATTTACACCATGATTCAGAAAGTCACTTGACAGAAGTTGGTCACATGACCACAGTTAATCACATGACCACAGTTCATCACATGACACAAGACATAGTGGAATGTCAATACGATCACAAACAACAATTTGAATACATTGACACTGATTGTCAAACGTTTGACGATCAAGATTTAAATGAAAATGGGGATTTGCAATATTATGACTGTTACGCATCACAACCAAACAAGGGATCAGGATTACACCCTATCTCAGAAGAAGGAGAAGCTATCTTTTTGCCTGAGGGTCATTTTGAATACAATCCTGAAAACAATTATTTCTGTACTTGTGAAGAATGTATGAAAAATTTACGAATAGAAACAATTTCTACGTCTGATAAATCCACAATGTGTCCCGAGGAGCCCCCTTATGTTTTAATGTGTGAAATTTGTGAAGGGTAAGACTCTGGGCTAAAAAAAAATCATACCATTTGAAAATATTTTATTTTATAAATTTTCAAGTCATGGAGTGACAGGTCTGAAATGGGATTTATGTAAAACTTATTAAGATACAATCTTAAGTTTACTTTGATATAAATTTCGTCACATTAAAATTTTTTAAGTAAAAGATTTGAAAATAAATTAAAGAAATCATAACTTAAATTTAAGTGTTTTATGTAACAGAATTACAACTGAAGGAACAATTTAAAAACAAATTTACTGATAGAATTCAATTCTTAGTTAAATTTTAGAGAAGGAAGCAGAGAGTGGGAGTGTGTAGGGGGGGGGGGTGTGGAGTGGGGATGGGGGGAGGGGGGGCGGACAGAAGAAAGATTTGTACGGATATTTCTGAAAAAGTACAAGGAAAATTAATTGACATTTTAGGAATTTTCAGATTATTTCTGTGTAGAAATTCATGACAAATTTAGAATTTTTCTGTATTTATTTTAAATAACGGTAATTGGCTGAGCGTCTGCTTTTATGGTCATATTACCTTTTCAGCAGACAAGAAACAAAAGGAAAGCAAGTAGAATGGGGAAAGCAGTTAGTGAAAGTAGAGAGTGGGAGAAAGGGGACTAAGTAGGAGTAGTCTCCCTTCTATGTAGGTATATAATAGTTGATAGTGTGATGGACGATTTCGAAAAGATTGAGTTACGGTCACAGGTAATTAATATTTATCTCCAATAATGATAATAGCCTATTGACCAGTGTATAAGGATACCTGTATCACTAGGCTGACCGATCCATCCAATCAGTACAGATGTATCCTTACGTAATTAGCTCTCACACCTGTATAATCCAACGTGTGATAAAGGTGAAATTGACAACAGGTTTTAGCTGTCAGATCACAGTGGCTAGGCGGGGGGACATCACTGGGTCATTGGTATGTAACGATTCTGACAGGATATGTCCCTGATAGTGAATTATGCAGAATTTCAGGGTGGATTATTGGCTTTACTTCCTACATGCTTCCTCAGATATTTATCTTCATGACAAAAGAGTTACATACATACTATTAAGTTTGAAATTGATAACGCTGTTAAAAGTCTTTTAAAAAATGACAACTTTGGTCATAATGAGGTAATTGATAAATTAATGTAATAAACACAAATTAATAGAAAATTTTAATAACTAAAAGTATAATCCAGAGATGAAAGACCTCATGAAGGATTAGAATAGCATCTTAAAGAAAAGAAAAAGAAATCTGTTTTAAGCAGCTGGATTTGAGTTCAGTTGATATGTAAATCACTCGTTATTTTATATAAATGTTTATTTAAAATTAATAATTTAAAAAATATTTAAAAATGTATTTTTAACTGATAGAATTAAAATTTTCAAATGATCGAAGGATACAAATTTATCAGGAAAACTTTTTTAAAATAATGATATTTTAAACAAACTAGATGATTATTGTTTTAAAAAAGATTAACAATGAAGGGAGATAACTCATTTATGACAATGGCAGTGTGAAACAAATTTTAGTTTTATTTCAGTCTTTGTACTTTTGATGTGCCTACACAAAAATGACTTTTAAAAAAAAATTGCTATTGAAGGGAGATAACTCTATTTGGTGATAATGTTTCTTTTATAAATTTAACCTCACAGAGTCTCTAAAATGTTATTAGCATTAAAATGTCCTGTAATATTACAGGTTGTTAGAAAACCAACTTCAGAAAACAGAGAAAGACGGAAAGAAAAAGGAAGAAGAATTGAAAAAGGAGATTCGACAACTGAAGAAAGACAACGATGAGCAGCAGAAAGTTATCACCCAGGTAGGTGTTGTCATAATAATTACTGTGTTGGACAGACAGATAAATAAAACTGAAATCCTGGGATTAATTAGCGCTTGTGAACAAGACTAGAATATATAGATCTTAGTGGATAGATAACCTGTTTTGAAAAGAGATATTTCATTATTTTTATGAAATAAGAACATTTGAGTACTCAAATTTTCAAGGACAGTTTTCCTAGATAAGAAATGTGCAAATATCAAATTTAACTGACCATCACATCATAGTGTCTATATACATTTTGAGTGTTTTATAAGATGTACTAATTTGTGTATCATATATAAATATTATTGTGTTTATTATATTGTGTTTTCTAACAGTATTTTTCCATAAACGTAGATCAGGGATTTTCCCAATCTCTCATTTTCTATACGACTGAGAGGAAAATTCCATATGATAAAATTTTTCTCAATTTAACCAGACAATATGAAACATAAAACCTGCGTATGTGTATGGAAATTAAGGAGATTTAATTATTAACATTTTTTTTTTTTTAACAAATGAATTCTTCAGGTAAATGGGTTATTTCTGTTTGGGAAAGAATTCTGTTTTTATCTTCTGAGGAGGAAAATCCCTGTGTATATTATCTATATTAATACTTGTATATATACTGAGACAATTGTTTTGGTGAAGCTGTACATTTATCTGTAAAACTTACTGCAGTCAGTCTAGTATGATATTTGTATAAGCCGTCATTGAAGGTGGGGTGGGGAAGCGGGCGGTTTGGGGGTGGGGTGGGGAAGCGGGCGGTTTGGGGGTGGGGTGGGGCAGCGGGCGGTTGGTCTGAATACTTTAACTTTGACTGAAAGCTGGTAGGTTGGCTTATTTCACAGCATTTCACTGCAGTAATATAACATCTGTTGGCTTTTCTAATAAAACTGCAATAGATGTACGTGGGTGGGCTTATTAACAAACATGGGGTTATTGACAGAAAATATGGTTGATTCCCAAATCATTTACTATTTGAGTAAAATTTGAATAGATGTGGAACCAGAAATATGTGTGTGGGGTTAGGAGGGGAAGCAAAAATAAGTATTTTGAGTCATGATTGATCATAAGAGTAATTAAGGGGTATTGAGTCTTTGAAAAAAGGAAAAGAATAGAGTGACTGGTTACTGTAATAAAATATTATTTGTTTATGTTTACGTAAAAAAATGTTCATAATACTGTAAAATGTTTACATTTACTCACAAATAATTTAGCCTGTGTTATTTCTTATTACAATGTTGATAACTTACTGTATTATGGAAATTTCAAAATATGTATATCAAAAACTTGAGATATAGATACTCAAAATAAATAAAAAATTTTATAGTACATATTACCTGTTTGTCCTTTCATTACTAATTGTATTTTAGAAAAGTGGTTACTTAAAGATTATTTGTGACAGAGAAACAATTTAGAGTATTTACCTGTAAACGTTGTACCTGTCAATATTTATTACCTTTGACCATTTATTTATTTCCCTTGTCATTGTGTGTTTTGTTAGCCATTTATTTAGTAGTTGTTTTAATCTTTATTTTTTCACAGCGTAAAAAATCACATGTAGGTAGCTATTGTCTACATACTGTTTTGGAAGTCATGTAGAGTTACCTCCCCTTACACTATAACATGCCAATTTACTGACTGCATCACTCTTTTGCTTAAATAATCATTAAAAGTAGAGAGCTATTTTCCAATGTAAGAAATAAGTTGAAAAAGTCGTAGATTTTGATTGAAATTTAATTATTTACCAGAAATATTTATTAAATTAAGGGGAAATAACTCTGGATTTTTCAGATCAGTCACGATAGTCAAACCTTGTAAATTCTGTAATAACATTTTTCACTGTTTGAACATATTTTGCTTGTCAAATTTCAAAGCTACAATTAGTTTTCAACTTCTTGATTCATTTAGATTTTTTTTTTAAATCAAAGAGTGAAGTTCTTAAATATTTAAAACTTCTTTCAATTATCTCATAATCCTTTCCAGATCATTAACAATTATTAGAAAAAAAACTCTCAAAAAGTTATGGAATGACTGAAATAGATATGTGAAAACAAATATTTTTAATTTGATTTGATGTTTTAATGATATATGCTGCCTAGTTTGTGAAATATATTTTTTCCTAAACAGAAGTGGTCCAATATATTTTTATGGCAGCATTCCAAATATTGTTTGGTTTACACTTAGATTTTTGAAATAGTAATGATCTAAAAAAAGTGGAGATATTATGTTATTGCTGATTTTAATGATATGCAAGAAATTGTAATCACAGATTCTTATCATAATTTATAAGGTAACATACAGCCTTAACCTAAGATTATTGACTTGTGTGAAAACTGAGGGAAGAAAGGTTTTTAAACAAAGATAATGAAATATATTGGGTTCACAGAAATAAAGGAGAGATAATCCCAAACATTTTACTTTGATTAGGCAAAACACTCTTGGTCTGCTATTTATCATTTAGATATAGATATGTATATTTAGATATTATAGACAAATTTATTATCTTAAACCATAATTCTTTTAATATTCTTCACTGCAGTTTTCTTTGAAGCACAGAATGGCTATATCATAATATACACTAGCTTTTTATTCATATTTTAACTTTCATCTTTTCTCTTCTTTTGCATGATAATATACTTAAATAGATAACTTTTAATAAATTCTTCACTCAGTTACTTTATTCCGAAGGAAATAAAAATATGAATATTTCTTAAAATTATTAATGATCTAATTCTCTTGAAATTTGGTATTTAAACAGAAATCAAGGTTTCACTATCTGTGTAAAGGTTATTGAGTATAGTATATTCCATAATTCCATTTTCTGTTATGTATGTTCTGGTTGGTTAAAAGTTTAGAGGCCTATTTGGGGATTTTTTTTTAAAATTCCATTTTATAAGGAGATAAAAAAAATATGCAAGAAGATGGTACAAAGCAATCTGGTTATTTTTTTTTATGATAACAGAATGATAAAAATATGTTTTTCATTTCCAAATAGGCCTTGAATGCTCACTTTGCTAATGAATGGAGCTATACAGTTATATACGTATATGTTCTCTAGATCTGTGAATACCATGTATATAACATCTTGAGAACCTGAAATTCTGAGAAATAGTTTAATCAACTTGCTTAATTTCGTATTCGATAAAATTAAATTTTCAGAATTTTTTCATTATTGAAAGATATTTTGATAACAAATATATTAATATTCATTACATACCTGAAATGTTACCCAATCTGTGCTGTTATTTTTTTCTCTAGTAAAAGGTAAAATTACATGTCAGTTTGTTTGTTTTTTTCTGATAAATTCTCAATAGTTATTAAAATAAAATATTCGAACCATTTTCTTTTCTTTCAAAAAACTAGATATCTGTGTTTCATAAAACCGAAATATTTAAGATTTTGTATTTATCAAATTTAAACAAATACTTCACATGTTTATAAGATTTACAAAATAGATGCAAAAAGGTGCAAAGTAACAAAATTCCAATGATAAATATTTTTTTAAAATGTTTCTTCTGTTTGGTTTATACAAAAGTATTTTACAAAACAAATTTGAGGCATGTTTTAAACTTTAATCAAGAGAGCTTGTAAAAAAAATAGCATAAAAAAGGACGAATTTGTAATGAATGTAAGAAATTGTATTTTTGGTTTATGTATCAAACAAGATGTTGTATGCAGATAAGGTTCAATATTGATGTAAATGTATTGAATTATTGGTTGTCTGTTTGCTTACGTTAATATTAACCATGTTTTGCTCCAATATTAACCAAGATGATACAGTTATATTACTTATGTGTATATTCCACCATATTATGCTGCACTTTGGGTTGTGGTTCAGCTAATCAAATTTAGGAAAACAGTGCCATTTTTAATGTAGCTTTTAATTAAATTCCTCAAATATGAAAAAAATGTAGCTGAAAAAATTTCAATGTACATTGTACCTAGTAAAAATTTTTATTCAGTACTTAGCTGAAGTTAGTGTCCTTATAAAGGAAATAGATGTTTTCCAGTTATTTGAAACTTAAAGATCTATTTTTTGATCAATTTCTTGTAGATCATGGAATTGCCTTGATCAGTATTAGAATATTTTTGTTATCAAGCGTGTGTAGATGGATCATATTTAGGGCTAAAAGGATATTTTAGAAATGAACAATTGCTGAAATTTAATTTACAATGAAATGTGTTTTAGTGAAATTAGCATTTCATTGAAATGTTAGTATCTCGATACAATCTGGAACAAATTTGACATGATTGTTGTTATGACAAACATTATGTAGCCATGGTGATGAGAATACCCATAATGCATTTTTTCAGATTTGGTGATGGCCATCTGGGGCTGTGCATTTCATTTGAACAACTTCTAGGCGGACTTCTAAGAAAATAATTGATATACACAACTTTTTTGATATTTGCTTAAAGTGGTTGATATTTAATGTATTTTGAAGTTTAAAGCATGCAGACTTTCCTTAAAATGCTCAAAAGCATGTTGTTTCATATTTGAACTTTTTGAAAATTTCGCATGTTTTTTTTTTGTGAATTTTTGTTTAAATACATATTTTTGAAAAAGAAATTTATTGAAGAAATTGTGGGTTTTTTCCCCTCGCTAAATTACATTTTTAACATAGCAAATTTTAAAGAAATGGAATTCATGTTGATATTTCACAATTATGTACAAAACAGAAAAATATGTATTAAGAGAAGTACCAGATAATATGGTGACAAGAACTGTTAATGATGCACAATCTGTTGTAGACTGCGTTATTGTTGATTTGATAATCACGTGCTATGATAATAAGTCATAGAAACATAGACAGTTAACAATTCTTTGGTTAAGACTTTGAAATTTGAATTTAGATTTCAATTTGATGGCTAAATATTAAAAGGAAGTATTTTGGGGGGAAATTTGAATTTAGAATTCAGTCTGAAGATTGAATATTGAAAGTAAATATTTGGGATGAAATTTGAATTTTGAACTCAGTCTTAAAGGTAAATATTTAAAGCAAGCATTTTTTGGAATTTTTAATGGAAACTTTGAATAACAAAGTTTGAATTAAAGTTTGAAGACCATATAATTAAATGTTACAGATTACGTTTCATGATGAGTAGTAATTGTGATATAATGAGTTTGTTTTTGTTTACAGAATATCTCTCTATCTCCCGAGGCTAAGATCGAGGCAACAATGCAGCATGAGATCACGCGACTCACGTCAGAGAACCTGGTATTTAAACATTTACATTTTATTTTTATTTTGAAGTTCAAATTTGATTAAAAGAAACAAAAAAACGTTGAAAAAACATCTGTAACTTTAAATCTGAGGTAACATCCTTTAACAATCTAGTGAAATTAATACATTCTTTTTTTATATTTTTTTGTTAAATGGAGATTTTGATCACAGTCTCAGCGTACCTTAACATCAATGCAGCTTCGGTTCCACATCACTTTTATATGTTTTGAATTCTTCATCGTAAAATTGAATAAAAAAAGGAATAAAAAATTAGTTGCTATTAACCTTGTATTTTGCAAGATATGAAATGAAATAAACAATAATGTAACAAATTTCAGGACCTGAGAGAAACCATAGACAAGAATTCCGACCAGATGCGAAGACTAAAGAAAATGCTGAAGGTGTATGCTAAACGTCTGAAGGATGGCGAGGGTATGTATAAGTTATCTCCCTTGATCGTTATTTCTGTTACTTTATTTTTTTATTAAAATAAATGTAACACCCTTCTTTTCGAAGTTTAACATTTGAAATAACAAAAGTAAAAATAAATCTACATGATTTAATTCCAAACACAGTACAAATATAATTTTCTTGTCCATCACATGAATCAACCCTTTTCATCTAATTTGATCAGATTTATAGCTAATATATTGTAGAATGTGTTATAACTTACATTATCTCCTTCTTTTTGCAGTTTCTCACTTTTTCTTACATTGTAAATTTTTTTCACAGCTGCTGAAATAGCTGCAGAGCTGGAACAGGATGAGAATAAGGCTAGTGTGGACAATGTTGCCTCAATCAAACACAGAGAACGCATGTACATGGGAATGTTAGAGTATAAAAAGGAGGACGAGAATGTACTCATCAAAAATCTCATCATGGGTGAGTGCCGTAAATGTTTGTTATGTAACTAGTGCAGACAATGGTTATTTGGTGTCATCAATCTATGTGTACTTTAACATTGTGTCATCAGTTCTTGCGTACATTTGAATTTCATCAGTCCTGATGTGTCATCAGATTGAGTGTACCATTTCTTCCTTTATGTCACCCATTGTTATTTTCCTGTTAAAAGAGTCATAAGTTTTCGTGTATTTTTACTGGTGTCAGCAATTTTCGTGGATCTGTACCTAATGTGTTCAACAATTATTTTGTAGAATAGTTAAATTTCTCTAACAACCAATTAAAAGATTTTTTAATTGGGAACTCTAATGAAAGAAAGTACTGGATAATTCATTTTCTCAGACTATTTTGAAATCTTGCTGGGTTGTAGACCTGAAGCCAAAAGTTGCTGCAGGTCTTTTGCCTGGTCTACCAGCGTATGTCCTGTTTATGTGTGTACGACACACAGACTACATCAATGATGATGAAAAGGTCCGCTCTCTCCTCACCAACTCAATAAACAGTGTACGAAAGTGTGTCAAGGTAGGTAACTCTAAACCTTGTGCTGGAAAAGTGTACAGCAGAATTAGATTAAAGTTATAAAATAGTAAATTTTCATTGAACTTTAATTTAATGGTTTTTCCATTAAAAAAAATTGTGAACTCTAAATTTTATCGAAAAATAATACCTATAAAAGGCTTTGAGTTTGGTTAGTTTGGCTCCAAAATAATAGTTTGGGATGAAATTAAATCTGTATTATTTTTCACATTTTCCTTGGCCGTTTGTGTGGACTACTGAATATTATGATTTTAGGAGTGTAGAAACCGGCATTTGTCTTTCTTGCAACAACATGAACCGTTATTTTACATAACAAAACAGGTCTGATATTGATGTATGCTTTTTATGCAGAAACATCATGGTGACCTTGACCGTGTGACCTTATGGCTAGCCAATACCTGTCGTCTATTACACACACTCAAGCAGTACAGCGGAGAAAAGGTAAGAAATGAAGTCTTACTTATATATACCTGGGTATGTATCCTTCGCCAAGTCCAGACTGGACAAATTCAATGTTAGAGGACTTATTACATGACAAAGAAGGAAAATATGTTTGTAATTTTTTGCCGAGCCAAAAATGAAAACAATGATATATAATTTTACTGTAAGGATTGGATTACTGCAATGTGTCTTGTATACTTGTACTGAAAATGGACCTACATTTTAAAATGATATCTGTTTGAATTGAAAACGGCTATATATAGTCATGTTACTAGGATTGTGAATATTGCATTGTATCTTAAATACTTGTACTGGAGATGGACTTTTGTTTCTATTTGAGTTGAAAACAGTGTAAAATTAATCAAAGTGGAAGTAAGAGTAATAATGAAATATTATCATTAAAAATTATTAAAAATAATAATAAAATAAAGACCACCTGTCTATAAAGACCAGTTTTTTTTATTTCCCTATGAGCGGTCTTTATATACAGGTTTGACTGTAATATAATAAAAGAAATAATAAAAAAAGGAAATGAAAAATAAGAATGGCATCCATTGTTAATTTTCACAATATTTGATATCATCAGGCGTTCCAGTCGGACAACAATACACGTCAGAACGAACACTGCCTACGGAACTTTGACCTGTCTGAGTATCGGCAGGTGTTCAGTGATCTCGCAGTCTGGATATATCAGACCCTAATCAAACTGATGGAGGAGACCATACAGCCGATGATCGGTATATATTACACAGAATCTGATACAATATCATAAATATAACCTTAACAAAACAAATAACAAAGTCATTTAAATGAGATCAAAGGTATTTGTGTCACCTGGTAACCTTGTGGGTTTTCTCCAGGTTCTCTGGTTTTCTCCACCACTTTTGTACTTCTAACCAAGCTAAAAAGAGTGATTTGTATAAGTTCAAATAATCTTTTATTCAGCTTGATATCAAGAATTTAAAAATGAAATAATTTTAGGTATAAGACAAGGTTTATTACCAGTCATGGGCTTATTTGGGTAACAAGATATTTTTTTCCTTTAGTGGCTGCGGTGCTGGAACATGAGGCCATCGCTGGACTCACGGCAAGTAAACCTTCAGGAATGAGAGGACGGTCGTCCAGTACTGCCACAGACCCAGACGATGTGAAGGAACTCTCCCTTGACTCTCTCATGAAAGCTGTAAGTGTTATAAATAACGCGAAACACAACATTAATGTGGTCAGTTTATGTGATCAACATATATTTTCTGTCAAGATTTATAAGCTATTAGGCTATATTAAACATATTACTTCTATTTGAAAGTTGTTGACTGCTGGCATTTCCGAGGCTGTAGTATTTAAATTATCTATCTCATCCGAGGACTCCAAAATAAATTTCTATTGATGGTGAAGTTTCTTGTCCATTATCTAAATTCTAAGCAAATTATTACTGTGTAATGAGATATTTTACTGAAATAGTCTTAAACAAAACCTGGAGTCCTGGGGATGAGAAAGATATTTTACTGAAATAGTCCTAAACAAAACCTGGAGTCCTGGGGTGTGAAATGTGTTTTACTGAAATAGTCCTAAACAAAACCTGGAGTCCTGGGGTGTGAAATGTGTTTTACTGAAATAGTTCTAAACAAAACCTGGAGTCCTGGGGTGTGAAATGTGTTTTACTGAAATAGTCCTAAACAAAACCTGGAGTCCTGGGGTGTGAAATGTGTTTTACTGAAATAGTTCTAAACAAAACCTGGAGTCCTGGGGTGTGAAATGTGTTTTACTGAAATAGTCCTAAACAAAACCTGGAGTCCTGGGGTGTGAAATGTGTTTTACTGAAATAGTCCTAAACAAAACCCGGAGTCCTGGGGATGAGAAAGATATTTTACTGAAATAGTCCTAAACAAAACCTGGAGTCCTGGGGTGTGACATGTGTTTTACTGAAATAGTCCTAAACAAAACCTGGAGTCCTGGGGATGAGAAAGATATTTTACTGAAATAGTCCTAAACAAAACCTGGAGTCCTGGGGTGTGAAATGTGTTTTACTGAAATAGTCCTAAACAAAACCTGGAGTCCTGGGGTGTGAAATGTGTTTTACTGAAATAGTCCTAAACAAAACCTGGAGTCCTGGGGTGTGAAATGTGTTTTACTGAAATAGTCCTAAACAAAACCTGGAGTCCTGGGGTGTGGATAGATTTTTTTACTGGAATAAGGTTACAAGAAAATAATGGCTTGTATTTTAGCAAACAGAAATATATATGTGTGGGCTTATTTCCAGACAGGGACTTATCACCTGAAAAATATAGTAATACTCTCTGCAGATACTACCTCTGTAAAGAGACCAGGTACTTTATCTGTATCTTTATGAAAATCAGTGAATGTTTTATCTTCATTATCAAACTCCAGGGTTGTGTTTGGGTCGCTATCCCTATATTCTTTTATTTTATGTACAATGTTATGGAATTTTGTAAATTTTGTTTCCAGATGAACAAGTACAGCCAAGTATTAACCCAACATGCTGTTGATCCTGAGCTTGTCAAGCAAATCTTCAGACAGGTAAATTGAATAAATATCCCACTATTTACTAAAACTGTAAAACATGGAGTCTGTTTTTATTCAATATTCACGATTTTTCCAGCATTTAGAATAGTACCAACTTTTGATGAATTTCAGCAACATGAATTCAAAAATATATCTTCATTCAAAATAAATCACTGTATAGGAGGGATCAATATCGATAAGTAAACTATTGTAATTTTTAGGTCATCTGACCGAAGGTTCTGATGACCTATTGCGATCACCTTTTGTCCGGCGTCGTCCGGCATAAACATTTTCAACTTCTTCTCAAGTTCTACATGTCTCATTGAGCTGAAACTTACCTGACATGATCGTGACATGATCCTGACCAAAGTTTGTTAATTTCGGGTTGGTCCGAAATCCAACATGGCCGCCATCTTGAAAACACTTTTTCTACTTCTTCTCAAGTTCAAAATTTGAAATCTTGTATTTTATGTCAGATGACCGTTAAAGCCCATGGGCCTCTTGTTTTTTCTTATTTATCATTTGAAAAGTCAGTCCTTCTGGAAAAGTAATTTATAAAAGCTCCTCTTAAGGATGTTTTTTAAAAAGAAGTCAAAATACATACTTTGTATGTTTGAATTCTGATAACATTATAGCTAGAAAGTCAACGAATAAAAACACAATGTAACTATGAACATTCCTCAGAGTAACCATGTGAATCTCCGAAAAAACTACTCAATGTTTATGAAAAGCAGCCATCATGATAATTTGCATAAGTCTTAAAATTAAGAAAACATTTTTTTTCCTTTTGGCAAAAGTTTTGTGAATGTAAATACCATTGCACAAAACAATTAAAAACTGCATTTTTTTGTAATTTAACGTATTTTCTGATATTTGATCTGTCCTAATACTTTATTTTTATATTCCTGTCTAGCTCTACTACTTTATATGTGCGGGTGCCCTTAACAACCTGTTGCTAAGGAAGGACATGTGTAATTGGTCGAAGGGAATGCAGATCCGTTACAACCTTAGTCATCTAGAACAATGGCTACGCGACAACAAACTACATGAAGTAGGAGCCCAGGTTACCATGGAACCCATCATCCAAGCATCACAGCTTCTACAGGCGAGAAAAACTGTCGCCGATGTGGACAGTATCTGTGAGATGTGCTCCAAACTCACAACAGCTCAGGTGAATTTTCTTAAAATTTTAGTTAAATTGCATTTTTTATCGCTAATAAATAATTTATTCATCGACGCATATAACCATAGTTTGATTCTCGTAACGAACATGAACAGGTATGGAGTCTTCTGACCAGGAGGGTTTTTTCTAGGTAATCTGATTTCCTCCCACTATAATGCCTCATATGTTTCAATATGGGCCAACATGAGTGATGAATACATATTTAAATAAATTGCTTTATAATCTTAGTTTTAATTTCATATTTTACGGACAAAAATTTTATTTATCAATATGAATGATGCTACAGAAAACACAAATGGGGTAAAAAACTCGCATAGAAATTTTGTAATGGACAAAGTATAGGTTGAGTAATGAATTAAATTACATCATACGAATACTTGTCCTCCTGGGACTCGTCATTGATGTCAGGTGCCGAGGATGAAAATCTTAAACGAGAATTTTTGAAAATTAGAATTGCTAAAACAAATGTAAAGATGAGATATTGAGGGGGAAGTGATGCACATACCCAAACATTTCCGTAAATTTAACATATTTGAATTCTTTAAAAGAAACCCCAAAAATAAGGTCTTTGCATTTTAACTGTATTACGATTTTTTATTTTTCAGATTGTGAAAATTTTAAATCTCTACACACCAGTAGATGAATTTGAGGAGCGTGTACCAATTCCATTCATCCGCGAAATTCAGAAAAAGTTGAAAGCACGACCACAAGATTCGGATAATACACTTCTAATGGACACAAAATTCTCGTATCCTGTCACATTCCCATTCAATCCATCAAGCATCGCCATGGAAACAGTGGAAGTTCCTCAAACCCTCCATCTTGGTTTCCTCACCCGTGTGTGATTTTAGTCAATTTAGTCGCTTACTTTAATTTATTGAACAGATGTGTCATATGTTTGTTTTTATAGTATCTGTGTTCCTGTTCCGTATCATAGAAAAACACTTTTTAGTTTTTTGCGTCATCGGGAATCACAGTAAAAAATCAGTATAAGATGCTCTCATGCTTATGAAAACTGCACACTGTAAAACCTGTCTTTACCGACTAAATAATTCAATGTCCTCAAATAGAGAATAGTGGAATAATTATTAGAATGTTAGAATTTTATGTCCTTGATAGTTTCTCTCTATTTAACAATTTCAACAATTTTCCTTACTTTAAATTTCACAAATTTTTTATATGAATCTGGAAATATATACAGTCATTCTGCATGAGATGTGGCACCCAGATTTAAATACAATTTGGGCTAACTTATAGATTTATTTGTGATTTTATTGGGAAATTTGTTTTAGAACTTTTTCCTGAAGTTTAGAAATCAGATTCTGTTCACAGATTTGCATTTTGATTTTAATAATAAAAAAGAAAAAACCCCAAAAATGTAAAATATCAGAAAACTCAACATTAACCTAAGTGAGGAATCAGTTTTTGAAGGTTTCTTGATAGTAAAGGGTCGTTTTAGACAGGTTGCACAATGTAAGTTTGTCATCAAGTTTTTTTTGTCTTATTATTAAAACTCCATTTTGTTGTACATATGTTTTCTAGACTTGGTCTATAACTGTTACTGTTAATGTCAGGTTTTCTCGTTACGTTTTAAACATCTGTATATAAAACATTATTCCTATACAGAAGTAGTAAAATTATATAGAATTAATGTTAAATTATCTGGCAATAAGCCAAAGTCTGGTAGTCAGCCCACCTATACATATATATATTGCTGTTATAGGAAAATGGAAAATAGTTCTATTTCATTTTTCTGTAATAAGTCAAACCCTGGCTTTGCTGTCAATCATCAAGTGTAAATTTATATCTAATGCTAATTTCTGGAATAGGTTTACTGATGTTGCTTTCTGTGTATTGGTAATGAAAAATAAATGAAATATGACAAATTAGGTTATGCACTTTAATATTATTTGACATTTTTCACACAATTTGTAATTTTAATTCATTTTTCTGGCCAGTCAGGAGTTCTTTTGAAACTTTGTAAAAGTCTTTTTTTTCCATATTTTTTTTTTACGATTTCATGCTAAGATTGAAGCAGAAAGGAATGCATGAGATAGTCATGTTTCATGGTGAACTGTACTTAATTTTCACAATATTTTAAACACTTTTAAAGATGGCAGAAAGTGAATTCTCGCTACCTTCCCTTATCATTAAACAATTGGCATCCATGTTTTCTCCACAAATATTGGATTTCATCAATTTACTATTTATTAACACAAATTTCATTATTATAAATTTGTAGATTTTTACAAATTTGCTAGAGTTAATTTCTCCCAAATGCAAGCAATGGAAAAAGAGGAGTGTAATATTTTTAGAATATCGAATACGCTGTGTTCCTCAACTGCCAGTTTGTAAATGGTGTTGATTTCTTGGGTTGTGAAATTTTACTTGAATAAGCTCAATGATGACAAGTTATTTACACATGAAAGGAAGTTTGTGTGAACTTTGTTATGTATAATTCTTGATAATTCATTTCGTCCATCTACTTACTATCTTAATTATTAAAGATTTGTTAGCGTATGAATGGTGTTTGACCATTATGTTATCAAATTACACAACTGTTATATAAATGTTATTTCCAGACTTTTGTCTCAGTTATCTCCCTTTGGTCTTGTGATTACCAGTAAGCGTTTATAATGCAGACTGAACTATATTGTTGCCATTTACGTAGAATGTAAGAGATGTGGCCCTTTTGGTGCCCTTCTCCCCTATAAGCAGTGACTTTATCATATCTGCTAATTTGAGTCTTTATTCTCCTGTATCGCACGACAGAAAATTTAATTTGAAACTTACTGTGAACCATTTTTATAACATTCAGTTTCGTTGACATAGAAAAAAATCTTGTCTGTCATGTTTTTTTTTTCCCTAAGTTAACTCAAAATTTGAAGCAAAAACATATTTCTATTTTCTTTATGTACTCCATTTTTTCAAGATATTACTTTTGGCAATTTTGCGTTGTCCTGAAAAATAGCAAAAGGCAGAACTCCCTGAAAATAACTTCTTTGATCGTATATAACGAGGACAAATTCGAGGGAATTCATTTTTTTTTATGTTTCATTTTATTACCAATATATATGTTCATTATCTTTGAATCCTGTTTTGTTTCGGACTTAAGATTTATATTGGACTGTTGAAGCCAAATGAAAATGGCAAAGCCTGAAAATGGCAAATCCTCTTCTACATATACACAATTGATACAAAAAATAATAAAATTGTGTTTTTTTTTTTTTTCTTACTTTTTTCATAAAATGTAAACATGTGATGCATCTTATCTACATTTATAACATACGTACACTGTTTATATTTCTTATTGCTTATAAACATTATTTTGATATCAGTTTATCATTTTGAATATGGATGTAAATGATGATTAATATTTAAATGGACCAAATGTAACTTTAAAAGAGGCACCGTCTTCCACACACACACACAGTGGCATTATCGAAACGACTCAAGTTTTTTTAACAAGCGTGATTTTATCCTTCTGTAAATAACATTTAACTATCAATAGAAACACTTGCCCATTCTTTCTACACTACTCCATCTTGTTTTTTTCTACGGGAAGTCTTGATTTGTAATCAGACCTGAGAATTTCCTGTTGCTTTGAACTTGGTCTTGAATATTCGAGTTGGGCAATTACATTTGGTATAAGGTATGCCCAACTGTTATTTGTTCAGTGTACAGAATATAGTTACGCTTCCCTTTAGAATATGAACCCACCTGTAACTAATATGACTTAAAAGGTAAACACGACAGGTAATTTTGGTCAGACTACAAACTATCTGTAGTTAACAATAATTAACACTCTTCCAATGCACTTGATGACTTAAAAAGACATTAAGACGGAATATTTAACTTTTTTTAATACATGGATGGAATTTTCTTAGAAAATTTACCGATCATCTTTGTACACTAGATTAGTAATTTTGGTGCACTGTTCTATAAAGGGATATTTACAAAGAGGATACAAGTCTTGGAAATGTCCGCCAGGATTTGTTTAGACTTGTGAAAACCTTGCAATAGTTTAACAATACGGGATATAGATATAGATATATGTTATTGTTTATGCAGCATGTTTTGAAGTATTTGTAGCATCGCATCAATTTGTGTTTTGTATGCAAGTAATTTGTAAGTAAAAGTTTTATTTTTTTAATTATTAATGAACTAGGCTTGTGTTTGAATGCTTTTCGGATACCAGTTCTCCTGTTTCTGGTTATATTTATATATTGCATCTAAAAATGGGTTTAAAATAATGGATTATTGTGCATCGTTTCGATGTTTTGAGAATAAAATCTTGCCAAGTACTAATTTTTTATAAGATACTTTCCACAAATTATGTGAACAATTTAAAAATCTACCAGATCTTAAATTATTACTCTCATTACATGTCCGACGTTGGATTGCATGCAATATGGCCGAGTAGGAAAAATTGTCCAATCATATGCTTTTATCCATTTCTTTTAATAAAGATGATTTGGTAAGTGCTTAATTTCAAAATCTATATATGAACAGTTCTTATAATTTGTAAAGTTCATCGATATATGTATATGAATCCTTGTGAATGATGTTTTTTTTTCTCATATATGTCGGAGGCAGTTTTGAGGAAAAGTCGTTTTGAAAATTGTGTTGCAATTGATAGAAAAGATATGAATGTTTTACTCCTATATGAGGGAATTTCTCAAAATGACTTGTGATAAGGGGGTCATCTCAAAATGATTGAGATATTGATAATTGGGTTTGTCTCAAAATGACTGAGGTAAAAGAGGGGTCGTCTCAAAATTTTATATGAAAATGAATGTCTCGAAGAGAATTATCATTTCTATGCGAGGTCTTTAAGACATAAGTAAATAAACAAACATTGAGTAGCAGATTTAGGATTGTCTCAAATATATTATAATCCCTTATTATGTCTTTAGAAAGATGTATTAGGATAATGTATGTAATAGGTACATGTGATACACACTGCACGTTATTTAGAAAATCCTCCGTTTGTTGACGTGCCTCTGTTGTGGGGAACGCTTGTTGTGTTTTCTCTTGTATCATTCCAATGTGATAGCTGGAACTATTAAATATGTGATCAGGCAAAAATTGTCTTGTGATTATTTTTTTTCATGACATTCTACGGAGATTATTTCACATGTGTAATAGGAAGGAGATATAAAAACCTCCCTGCCACGGATGGGGTTCGAACTAGCGACCCTTCAGTCTGTAGCCATACACTCTACAGCTCTACTAAAAATAAATTCTAACTAACCAAGGCTGATAAGGTCACCTGTACTCTAGACTTCAACACTACTCCCTCCTTCACAAAGTATTCGACCCCCAAGACTATAGCTTCTATCGTTTGAGTGATCAACGACACCAAATCTGTAATAGAAAGGAGTAATGAAAAACACCCTCCCATCACTTGGGTTTGAACTAGCTTCAATCTTCAATCTCTAGTCTGACTTTTCTATGCCCAATTAAAGGGAAATCCCCATTAGCTGAGGCTATTAAGGGGACCTGTTCTCTCATGCAAGTGCATATCACGAGACAAACTAAAATACTTTGATATTATGTCTCGCTAGTAATATACTAGCTGCTAACAACATACCCTGTACCCCAACTGTTACACTGTGAGATTTGTAAAGCAGTAGGCAGTAAACAATTTGAAATTATGTCAAGTTAAGGTTGTACTCACTAAATGCACATAAATTTCACTCACACATGATCTTTTTAAACATGTTACACACATGTCAAAACATACCTTAACTAGTGGAAATAACCGTGTCTACACTATGTCCATCAACACGTCTATGTCCGTCAAAATGTCTATGTCCGTCGACACGTCTATGTCCATCAACACGTCTATGCCCATCGACACGTCTATGTCCTGCAACACGTCTATGTCCGTCAACACGTCTATGCCTGTTGACACGTCTATGTCCGTCAACATGTCTATGCCTGTCAATTTTCTTATTGTTGAGCTTCCACATGCTGTCACGGGGATGCCAAAAAGTGCACTGATTACGACCAAACCTCTGACACTGGAGAAGATCTGGGGGCCCATTATAAGCCATGATATGGGGGTATAACAACTGATCCCGTGATAAAGTGATGTAACAGGACATACTGGTCTAGATTATGTTTAAGATGATCTGGAGTGATTGTGTAAAAGGTCCAGTATAAAGCTGATTCACCGAACCACACACTATAAAGGGATTTTCCCAAGATGATTCAAAGTTTTCATTTTTGACATTACACATGTATCTTCTACTGATTGTGTTTTAGAAAGCCAGAAAGTCCAAAACAGCAAAAAATAGACGGCCTTGATGGTAACAAACTATACAGTAAACAGTTAAACAGAAACTTTAATAAAATAAAGTGAAAAAAAACAATAGAGTCCTTTCATTCTTTATTCACGTTTTCAACACTTACAATCAACATCCTCATCCATTTATATAGAGTCCAAACATCTCTCACACCATACTCTTACACTTCATACTTCATGGTAAGTACAAACATCATATCAGCACTTTCTCTGTTGACATAAAAATTCATCAATTCCTTCAATACAATTTTTCAAACTGATCAAAAACAGGTTCTAACACTGATACAGAACTCTGCACCATCAGATGGTATTGACAAGAGACCTTAAAAACCTGTCTCACTCACTTACTGATCCTTCAGGAGTCGGTTTTTATATTGGGCAAATTTTACTGATATTTATCCTTGCAAAAAGCTTTTAAAAATCATGACCTCGACCTCTTGGTTCTAAATAAGTTGTTGCAGATTTTAACAAATTTGACCTCTAAAGAAGGTCAAGGTCTTTCAATAGAATAAACTTGATAGCACATTTTCCCTGCTAGATACTGGCTAAAATTGAAATCATGGTTGATAAGAAAAAATTGTTTTTTTTTTGCTATAGTTCACAATGGACAAGCGAAACATTTTACCATAACATAGGTAATTATCATTTACCATTTGGACAGGTAAATTCAAGAAATGCAATATTGAGTATCACTGTGTTTGAAGGAAACAAGAAACTCTTGGATGTCATTTTTCAATGTTTCACATTAAAGATGATTTTTGAGAAAATATGATATTTTCCACCCTGAACTTTGAAAAAATTCTCAAAGTAAAGTGTATATAACAAGTTTATGCCTGAAGAACATTTTGTGAAGTCTAGCTTTCATCCTTCTTGTTGGACAAAAGGATTAGCGATGGCCTCCATTCCTTCAGATGGACAAATCAAGACAACTGACGTCCCTCGACATACTACCAGTCCAAGATGGCGTGTGTCCTCTGTCAACTTGAAGGGATCATCAGGATCTAAAAACAGTAACAAAAAGTTGAAATTAAAGCATAAAAATAGCAGTCATTTTCAGCTTTTAGTGACCCCGGAGGTCACATACAGGTTAACCTCATCACTGCTAATATGGTTAGTGTTGCTAGCAAACTTGAGTCATTCAAAATATCTATAAATGCCATTGGAAGAGTGTTAGTGTTAACTTAGAATTTAATAGTTTGAGAACAAATTTTGATACAAAATATTAGCCAACTTACCCAGCTGTATTATATTTAGGCAGAACAAAAAGTATTTTCTGTTTCTAGCCAACTTACCCAGCTGTATTATCTTTAGGCAGAACAAAAAGTATTTTCTGTTTCTGGTAACCTTATTAAATTTAATATTTTGTGTCTTTCATAAATGTATTTAGACAATTTTTAAGAAAGCACTGCTTATATCAAGATTACTCTCCTATATAAACCATATGAAATTATCGGCTAAAATAAAAGAATCTACCTACTTGATACAGGAAAAACCATCATTATTTTGTTTGTCCTAACTAGTGAAGTTTACTCCATACCTCTGAGATATTCTGTTGTTCCATCCAGTACAAGGTTCAACAAGGGATCATAACCTTTTAACACTCCGCTGGCTGTAACATATAATGTGACAACAAAGTAAATGATAATTAACTGAAGTAATCTAATAGAGAGATAGTGAAATATTTACATATCATCTTATTTTAAGATGCTAGCGACACTACATTAGAAGAAAGTATAGATAATAGCCACACATGGGATTATAGCATGTGCAAGGGAAAAAAAGGAAAAAATTGACACATGCTAGCAGTTGTAAAGCTGTGACATAATTTCAAAGTCAAATCAGTGCAAGCAATTTTTTTCATGATTTTTTCATTGATATCAGAACACCATTTTCCAATTTTTCATGAGTCCTATAACTAAGAAATGTAGCAAGTCCTCAAAATTTAAGTGAGTCCCATAGAAAACTCATGGGTAAGGACTCAAATATCCGAGTCCCAAAAATTACTAAGTGTTGTTCATTGCCAATAAATTGCCAAAGCTTGCCCCGATTAGTTTTATATTAAATTGATTGTAAATAGACCTACTTGACAATCATACTGCCCTCACTCCACATGGTTTTGACATGATTGATAAATTATCGTCAGACTTTGACTGATATTTAAAAAATATTTATCTCAAGTTTAGTATTCAGAAAATACATTTTGTAATTTCGTTAATTCATAAATGTTTGGCTTCTTCAACACTCAGGAGATAAATCTTAGTTACCCTCTCGTCCGCCGCTGAATTTGACTCGGATTGGTTTGTCAAGATATTTTGACAGATCTAAGATTGTTTCTTTCTTCTTCTTTTCTCTGTCCTTATCTTTATCTCCAGTCTGAAGAAAAAAAAAGTAAAATACATCATTAGTTTGGAAATTAAAATATGTCTGAACAGCAATTTGACTTGAATATTCAGTTATGAGACAGTAAGGATTTATCATATTAGCTAAGAAAACACGGTTGGATCCGGTGCATCCTCTATTCAACCTGATGAAACAGAATTCATCATTCTGACGTAGAAAACACTGAAGTAATATGAGTTGCTGACCAGAACAAAATTTTGATTAAGCATAAACTGTGCGGTCTTCTGATCGGATAGAAATGTACTTCTGATCAGAGAGAAAAATATGCTCTTATCAATTTCCCATGCTCGATATTAACAATCTAGTATCAAAATATAGCAACGAAGGCTATGTGTAAGGGGGATTCAATTCTTTTACCGGCGTCCGAACAACAACACTCCAAATGTACACGCATTGTATTCAAATCAGAAGTTTCAGAAATGGGGTATCACGATAGAGTGATGTAAACTAACGTAAAATGTTAGTACTTGTCCGGGAATATTGTTGTCTTACCTGTTGTTGTTTTGGTAATTGAGACATTCTCTGTTTCAAAACGCACGCCTTTCGACACCGGAAGTTAATTTAAAGGGGAGCTACTCCAAAATATGGGATTAGGTAAAGTAGGGACCGGGCTAGGACCGGATCCACAGTACAGTGTTGTCTGTAATTTTCTTTCTTATACATAGCTTATTTGGCAATAGTAACAATTTCCATAATAGTAACAAAATCCGGAATAGTGACAATGTCCAGAATAATGACAATGTCCGGAATAGTGGTTCGATCTCCAGAATATTGACAATGTCTAGTATAGTAACAATGTCCACAACAGATACAATGTCCGGAATAGAGATAATGTCTAGATTATTGACAATGTCCGGAATAGTGACTATGTCCAGAATAGTCACAATGTTCGGAATAGTGACAATGTCTATAAAAGTGACAATATCCAGAATAGTAACAATGTCCGGAATAGTGATAATGTCCAGAATAGTGACAATGTCCAGAATAGTGACAATTTCCGGAACAGTGACAATGTCCGGAATAGAAACAATGTCTAGAATAGTGGCAATGTCCAGAATAGTCACAATGTCCGGAATAGAGACAATGTCTAGAATAGTGTCAATGTTCAGAATAGTAACACTGTCCTGAATCGTGACAATGTTCGGAACAGTGGTGCGATCTTCAGAATATTGACAATGTCTAGTATAGTAACAATGTCCACAACAGAAACAATGTCCGGAATAGAGACAATGTCTAGATTATTGACAATGTCCGGGATAGAGACAATGTCTAGATTAGTGTAAATGTCCAGAAAAGTCACAATGTCCGGAATAATGACAATGTCCGGAACAGTGGGGCAATCTCCAGAATATTGACAATGTCCGGAATTGTGACAATGTCCGGAATTGTGACAATGTCCGGAATAGAGACAATGTCCAGAATAGTGACAATGTCCGGAATTGTGACAATGTCCGGAATAGTCACAATGTCCATAATAGTGACAATATCCAGAATAGTAACAATGTCCGGAATAGTGATAATGTCCAGAATAGTGACAATGTCCGTCCGGAACATGTCCGGAATAGAAACAATGTCTAGAATAGTGGCAATGTCCAGTGTAACACTGTCCTGAATGTGTCCGGAATTGTGACAATGTCCGGAATAGAGACAATGTCCATAATAGTGACAATGTCCGGAATTGTGACAATGTCCGGAATAGTGACAATGTCCAGAATAGTGACAATGTCCAGAATAGTGACAATGTCCGGAATTGTGACAATGTCCGGAATAGTCACAATGTCCATAATAGTGACAATGTCCGGAATAGTGACAATGTCCGGAATTGTGACAATGTCCGGAATAGAGACAATGTCCAGAATAGTGACAATGTCCGGAATAGTGGTTCGATCTCCAGAATATCGACAATGTCTAGAATAGTAACAATTCTACTAAGAAAATAAGCTTAATACCGGAGTATGTAACAATAACTACAGAGAAGATGATCATATTATATATAATGCAATCTTAGTTCACTACACAAACGTCCTTACCCAGAAACATTCTTATACTTCCATCTTAACCTAACAATGCTGAACGTATGGGCAACCTTATGTCATTCGAGTGAGCGCGTGCATCACGCACTGTACAAGGTATGACGAGCAAAAATCACGTGATTTGTTTAGTTGTTGTTTGAATTCAATCTGTCTCGTAATAGTAACTTCTTTACATCTACCTGTTAACGACCTCTTTCAACATACAGAAGATTGTGCCGATTTATTGGTAAACAAGTTTTAACACGTGGATGTATGACATCAGTATGGGTATCGAAACCTTTCCATAACATCTTACACATATCAACGAGCACATGGCGGATTCTGGAGGTATAGAGGTAAGTTATAATTTTCTATCCATGTGTACAGAATCATTCACCACGGATGGTTTATCATTTATATAAAGCACCACTATTGCGTTGCTTTTATGGAAATTTCAATTTTATTCAAACTTTTAATTCTAGTACCTTTGATCATAAGAAGGAAGGGTCGCCGCGGTGGTTCAGTGGTTAAGGCGTCTGACTGCCTTGATCACGCTCCCATCTATGGCTCGCGGTTTCGAGACCCACGATATGTTTATTGATCTTGGTTTGTGTTATAGTTTACCAGCATCCGCTGAACGTTGTCAGAATAATTTCTGCTCACATAAAGGTTAGTGAAATCAGAGACGTATATATACGTCTCTGGTGAAATCAGGCCCAGTTGACCTTTTGTTTCGTTCGGAATCTTTCTTGATGAAATAAAACCGTTACTAATATGATGAACAGAGGACGAGGATTTTTTTTTCTTCAAAATTTTGCTTGATACATATAAATAAAAAGAAATGACATTCATACAATCATTTGCATGTCATCATCATCAGCAGCAGCAACATCATCATCATCATCATCATCATCATCATCATCATCAAAACGTTTCATTCCAACATTTTACCACACCATTTTTTGGAAAACATCAGGCAATTTTTCCAAGATCGGACCGTTCAGAACGAGACACGGTTTGATTAGTGTTAGATTTCAGGTTTTACGTGTTGGTTATTTAAGCCGAAATACTTATCAAACTACAAATCTATATACTACACTGTTACTTTTTCTAATTATTCCATTTTTTCTTTACATAAATCGCATTTGCAACACGGGAACGGACGTGTATCTACTTCTGACTCGGAACAAAGTTACCATCGGCTTTATTTTAATCACGGGAGTTATTTCCCTTGTACCACAACAAACGACAATGGTAGACGAAACATTTATATCAGTAAAATAAAATAAAATCATGCTTGTTTTCACGTAATCAATAAAATTAAGATGTTTTGATGTGTAATGAAACTTGAAATTATCATTTCGAAGGCTGTTTTTTGTCAATGGATATATCAGCATTTCATTAAAAACAAACACTTGAATACAAATTACCAACAATTGCAATTTTAAAAATTTACGACTCTTCAAAAAGTAACTAATATTAAATTTATCTTATAGAAGCAGATATTTTGAAAAAAAAAGTTGAAATAATACCGAAATAAACATGTTTTCCCTGGAGACACGTATCATTTTTTACTTAAATATGAAAAAGTTATTTTTGTGAAATAAGGTGAAAAATTATACATAGTGAATACGGAACTAATTCTTTAAAATATTGATATATGGTGAATATTTCCAAATTGAAATTAGTAATGTGTTTAGAACTTTATAGTTTGGTTGATAATGTATATGTAGGCACGTTTCATCCTTCACAGGAAGTCAACTATAAACGTGTGACATTTCGGTGACGAGTATTACACACTCTGTCACTCATCAGCACACGGGAAGACACATTCTGTCCTGTCAACTGCCCATGACAGGAATCGAACTCGGGTCTGCGACGTAATAACACACGGCTCCACCGTAACTGAGTCAAAGAGGCTTGCTCGTTCAGCTGAGCGGCAGACACTGTATTTAACAAAATGTAAAGTACATTATGATATACTATATGTACTAAATAAAAACCAGTTTGTACTTAGCTCAAAAAACTAGTCGACTTGACGATGTTAAGGTATATAACGACCCTTTACCTTTTCGATTCCCGTAACGGATGTGAAAAGGTAAGGGGTCACGACCACGTGAGTTTCCCCCGGGTACTCCGGTTTCCTCCCACAATAAGCCCCCTCGCGTGCTTACATCCGGGCCAACCAGAGTGATTAGTATAAGATGAAATAACTTGTTTCGCAATTATCGTAAAATAAATAAATTTTATCATTATTATATTTATGAAATAATCAATAATTGAACAAAGAAATAACAGAATACCATCAAATCATGATATTTCACGATGACTGTCTACAAGCGTAAGAGACAATGATGAGAGTCTGGTTTAGCGAAGATGTTATGATTTAACAGGGACGTATATATATATACGTCCCTGGATTCGACCAAGAGTGGATGTAGTTAAAATTTTTGACGCTTTCGTGGGAGAAATAATTCCAAAAGGGATGTTTGCTACGTTTTCAAATTTGACCCCACCCTTTTTTTAACCCTGCCACAAACACCGGTATTTTATAGAGTTTAAACCAAAGACGACCAAGAGTTGTCGTTCTTCTATCTCACTCGCTCTGAACTAACTACTTTCGTGAACATAGAATAAGTCCACGTGCATACCTTTGGTTTGGTATAGGTCTATAGGGTGTTTTATGTTTTACAAGAATTTTAATAAGGCGAACAGACGTTAGAACGTACTTACTTAACTTAAGTATTTGTAGCTCTGGTGAGTGTTCGGTTGATTAAACAGTTAATTTATTAAAACCACGGACTTGGAATAGAATTAAGCTAAAACACATTACTTGTGACAAAATTAGGCAAGGGACAAAATCATTTGTTGTTAAAAACTATAAATACTAAACATTTTTTTTTTCAAGTTCAGAAATTCCGTTACTGTTCTTAAGACAGTATTATCGCCATCATCGTTTCACTAAGAATACCGGCCGAAAGGTGAAAAGTCTGAACAACATAATTGACAGGTGTGAAATTAAACTTCCTTGTTTACGACTGTGGAAGCATTTATCAAATTATAACAGAGTGGCGGAAAAATCATAAATGTAAACAAAAAATTATGGATACCCTTGGAAATATAATTATCAAATTAACGATTAAAAAAAAATGTACTCTAGTTGAATTCTTGCGTGACAAGAAATAATTTATCACAACCAACGTAAACATAAATATCTGTAAACATACGCTACCTATTTAAATTTTCTGTCTTTGAAGTTGACATTTGGGCACCTTTAAATTCCTCAGTAATTTCGGCCTCGTCAGATCAACGTAAAATAGATTTCTTTATTGACACATAAATAATTTTGAGATAGAGGTGAATCTGAACTGTCGTTCCATTTCTCTCCCTGTTAGGAGATTAACCGAACGAGAATTAGTATCTGCATTTTAATCAGCTTGTTAATTTTCTAGTTTATTTATTTATTAATCTTTCGCCGATTTTCATGAGTAATGGCGAGATAATTTAATATTTTCACAAGTACTGCAACATTGTGAGTATTGT